AACCCAGGTCTTCTGCAAGAACAACCTGTGTTCTTAACTGCTGAGCCATCTCTCCAGCCCCAAGACTATTCTTAAGGTAGGAGGATTTGTAGTTTAAGTCTAGCCTTGGCTATATAACAAGTTCAAGGACACGAGTTACATGAGACCCTGTCTCAAAAATAACAAAAACCCAGGTTGGAGAAATGGCTCTGTAGTTAAGAGCGCTGGCTGCTTTTGCAAAGGATCCTTGTTCAGTTCCCAGCAGCCACATGGCAGCTCACAACCATCCCTAACTCCAGTTCCATGGGATCTGAGGCCTTTAGATTGATTCTCAGCACTAGGAAAAAAAAAAAAAGGCAGCTTTGTGAAAAAGGTGGCATATGAGGCTCTGAGGAGGGCCTTAAGGGAAATGAATTAGGACAAGAGGAATGTTTTCAGGATTAAGAAATATTATGAGCACCACCAGACACACACCTTTAACCCCAGCTCAGCACAAAGTGTGAGATTGAGGCCATCCTGGTCTATATAGTGAGTTCCAGGACAGCTGGGGCTATAGAGAAAGACCCTGTCAAAAAAATAAAAAATAGAAAAATTAGGGACTGGAGAGATGGCTCAGCAGTTAAGAGCACTGTCTGCTCTTACAGAGGACCTGGGTTTGGTTCCCAGCATCCACATGGTGGCTAACAACCATCTGTAACTCCAGTTTTCGGGGGAATACGATGCCCTCTCTGACCTTCATGGGCATTGCACAACATGGGTGCACTTACCATGCAGGTGATACACTCATAACACATAAAATTAAAAAAAAAAACACTTTTTTGTCTTTTTAAGACAGTTCTAGCACCAGCTAGCCATTCATACTTTTTAAAAAAAGAATTTATGCCAGGCGTAGTGGCACACACCTTTAATCCCAGCACTTGGGAGGCAGAGGCAGGGGATCTCTGTGAGTTCGAGGCCAGCCTGGTCTACATAGTGAGTTCCAGGCCAGCTGGGGCTACAGGGAAACCCTGTCTCAAAAAGACCAAAAAAAAAAAAAAAGTATGAATGGGGTTGGAGAGATGGTTCAGTGGTTAAGAGTACTGACTATTCTTATAGTGGACCTGGGTTTGATTCCCTAGCACCACACCCAGCCAAGCTGATTCATTTTTGCATGCTATATTTGTAAATAACAGTAGGCAACTGATAATCTCTGGAATGGCTAAATGAATTAATCAATATGAGAATAAATATGCTTCCTGGAATGGCACCCCTATCCATGAGCTGGCTTGGAGGGGTATAGAAATTGGAGATATGGTATAGTGGTCATAATGAGACCTTTGGGTACTCCTTGTTCCCAGTGCATGTTCTCTTAGCACAGTTATACCAAGCCCATTTGGGATACATTCATGGGTGTCTACCATGTTCAGGTCCAGTGGTTGGTTTTGAGAATATAAGAGATGTCATATGCCCCCTACCTTAGACATCCTTCAGATAACAAGGTATTCCAAGGCTCTGGCCCTTTGTATTGCTTATGTAAGTCTCACCCCAGATGAGGCATTGTTCACTGCTATACTCTGTCCCACACTTACCTTATTAGACCCACCTTAATTTTGTTTGGTGTGGCTTTTGTGCTGGATAATTTGGCTATATCCAATCCTATAGTTAAGCTTACTGCTCAAAACTGTTACCCTAGTTACCTTTTAAACTTGCTATATGCTTAATTTTTAACTTTGTTAGAGCCAGCTTTGCTGTAGAGCTCAGATGAACTGGCAGTAGAAGCTGTTAAATGTCACTGTTTTCACAGCTTTTGATGGACTTTTCTAGTCTCTTATCCTATTATTTTCCATTGTTGGTAAATACCATCATTTTATCCAAGTTACTCAATATTGATATTTGCTTAGGGAGGCCATAGAAAGACTTAAATAAGCCGGGCATGGTGGCGCATGCCCATAGTCCCAGCACTTGGGAGGCGGATCTCTGTGAGTTCAAGGCCAGCCTGGTCTACATAGTGAGTTCCAGGACAGCTGGGGCTACAGGGAGACCCTGCTTCAAAAGAAAAGGAAAAAAAAAGAGACTTAAATAATTAGGTGTCACCATGGAACCATACAAGGAAAATAAATCTATTCCTTTAGAAATTGATTTAGTGGTGCCATCAGAACTAAATTACTTACATGTGTATGTGTCCTTTTTATTCTGGCACACCTCTATTTTCTTGGCATATTGGAGAGTCTCGGAATTTCCAATGTGACCTCTCCAAATTCCTTTCTCTACTTGCCCTTTTTTTTTTTTTTTTTTTTTTTAAGTCTTTATGAGATAGGGTTTCCCTGTAGCCCTAGCTGGGCTGGAACTCACTATGTAGACCAGGCTGGCCTCGAACTCATAGAAATCCCCTGCCTCTGCCTCCCAAGTGCTGGGACTAAGGGCATGCACCACCACGCCTAGTGTCCTTCCCCCCCTTTTTTAAAATTTTATTTATTATTTTTGTATTATGTGTATGAGTGTATTGCCTGCATGTATGTGAGTGCACCCATGTCGTGCAATGCCGTGGAGGTCAGAAGAGGGCTTCGGATTCGGATTCCCCTGGAACTGGAGTTAAGGCTGGTTTGTGGCCACCACGTGGGTGTTGGGAATCGAACCCGGGTCCTCTGCAAGAGCAGTCAGTGCTCTTAACTGATGAGCCATCTCTCCAGCCCCCATCCTTCCCCTTCTAAGCCGAGTTACTTGTCCCTTATATTCCTTCCTTTGCATTGTGCATTTCTCTCAGAGAACTTATTATCCCAGTATATTATAATTATTAGTTTGCTCATCTGATTTTTAGAATGCTGGTCTCCCCAAGAACTAAACCTACCTGATTCCTCTTTATATATCTGGATGCTAACCTAATACCTATTATACATTAGATACTTATTAGACAACTAATGCCTACTTTTCTAGATTCCATCTCAGGAATAGACATTATCATGAACTTTTCTACTATTTATCTACTATAAAAAAAAATCCCAGCTGGGCTTGGTATTGCCTTTAATAGAGGCAGAGGCAGGTGGATCTCTGTGAGATTGAGACCAACCTGGTCTGCATATGAGTTCCATGCCAGCTGGAGCTACAGGGAGACCCTGTCTTAAAACAGACAGACAAAACTAAAACCTAAAACCCCCAGGACTCAAGGATTTCTTGTTTTTTTGTTGTTGTTTGTTTGTTTGCTTTGTTTTGTGAGACAGAATCTCTAGTTCACACTGGCCTTGAACTCCCTATGCAGCTCAGGGTAATTTCAAACTTGAAGTCCTACCTCACCCTTACACATGCTGAAATTATAGGTGTGTGCTACCAAGCCCCACTGGAATTCAGTTCTTAAGCAACTTCTGCCCTATGAACAATAATTCTGTTAGTTTGGATTTAACAATTATAAAAGTAGATGAACCAGATAATCATGTATGTAGATACAAGGTGGAGAACATAATAGTGAAGGATAAAGAAGGGAATGAGTTAACAAAATTTCACACAGTTGCAAACTGGCACAAAGGTGACTCATTTCTGAAGCTAGGCTTGATTCAAAAGGGCTCAACAAGGAGCAAAGAGCAAAAGGCAATCAACAGTGAACACAAGGACTCATAGCAAACAGGCAGATAGGAACTGGTGAGTACTGATGGGGCCCGGGTTCTCTGGGATTGTGGTCTCCCATATTCTAGAGGACATGGAAGATGGGAAATAATCAGAATGTGAGATTCTGGGAAGGCTGAGGGGAAGGATTAGTGTTTTCTACAGGTATACAGTGAAAAACTCAGGAGACCGAGCCAGAAAGATCATGAGTTAGAGGCCAGCCTGAGCTACATAGTGAGACCATATCTCAGAAAACAAACCAATACCACATTTGAAAAGTTCTTAGAAGAAGATAGGCATGCACTAACTGGTACCAAGGACTCAGAACAATTGAAGGGGCTTTATTGGAAGAGAAAAGAATAAGCAAGAGATTATTAAGGAGACCAATTAAAGAAGAGTGGATTTAAATATATTGTTGTATTCTTTCCAGTCTATAAAAAGGAAACTTTATGCATTATTTTGAGTAGCATATAAAACTTGACCCATTTGGACAAAATGAAACCTTTGTGTAATTTACACACTTGGAAAAATAGTCTGTCCTTGGCAGCTTGGAATCATGATCTTCCAGTGCCGAGTGATTAATCTTTTGGAACGTAGTCAAGCTATTATAGTCTTGCTAAATGGTTCAGATCTAATGCCCAAGTTATTAGATCCCTGTTTATCCCTTCAGGGTATTCAGCACTTACTATATATTAGCAGTCTTATAGTACTAAACATCAGAAACAAAACTCAAAAGGCTTTGTAGATGTGTAACTCACATGAGGGATAGAAGTGGTGGAAAGTAGGGAATACAAATAGTAGATTATATAGTGTGTTGGAAGGTAAAAAGTACTACGGAGAAAAATAGGGAAAAATAATGGTCATGTAGCCAGTTGAGTTGCATTTTCTAATGAGGGCAGGGAAACTTTCACTGTGAAAGTGACATGTAAGTAAAGATGATTTAAAAGTGAATGAGCAACTTGTGCAAACAGGTCATATAAAATACATTGCTGCTCTGCAAACTCCAAATTGAAAGCCCGTCTAATACCATTTTTAAAAGAACTAATCTTGAGGAAAATGAGGTTGCAAATGGTGTCAGAAGGTAGGTGCTGGGGTATATGGGGCAGATTGTGTTCTTCATGTTCTTAAAAATGGATTGCTTGGCTTTATTCTCAACACCTGGTATGACTCTGCAGTTTTTCAGTCCATGGAAACAAATATTTAGGTTGTATTTTTTTCCCCTTTCAAATCTCTTTTAGACGAAAAACAAATGTTTGCTTAATGGAAATGTTTACTGGAGAGGTTTCTGGAAACTACAGTAATGGAGATCTGAGTGACCCCTGAAGGAACTCAGTCACTTGATTTAAGAACATTTGTGCCTGAGGTGCCTCTAATGCATACCCCTGAGGAAAAAGAGGAACCAAGTATTATAGTAAGGACCTGGGTTATTTTGTTTTGTTTTTCAGCACTCAGAGAATGTGTGTTTCTGCTTTCAGTTATTTAAATTGATCTACATGACCAGCCCATTTGCTGCAAAAGAATTGGCCAAAGGGAATGTTTTAATATGTGAGTATGAATCTGGCAGACAGCTGCCCTTTCAGTGCTTGATTTCCTGGGTTGGAGTTTCCATTGTTCAGGATCCTGAAAATTAAACAATTCTCATTGCTTCCTTCTCTAGATAATAGCTTTCATTCTTAGCCATGGAATAGGAGTTTGACCTTGAATAGTGATCAAATAGACAATCCCAACTTGTCTTTTAGTGCCTTGGTATAAATGTGGTTCCCTTAAATATTTTTTAAAATTTAGTTTACTATTTTTATTTTATGTGTATGCGTGTATTGCCTGCATGTAGGTAAGTGCACCCATGTCATGCAATGCCCGCAGAGGACAGAAGAGGCTGTCGGATCCCCTGAAACTGGGGTTACGGACAGTTGTTAGCTGCTGTGTGGGTGTTGGGATTCGAACCTGGGTCTTCTGCAAGAACAGCCAGTGTTCTTAACTTCTGAGCCACTTCTCACATGTCACTTTCACAGCCCCCTCTTAAATATTTTTAAACTGCAAGTGCAGTTAGCTTTCATTTGCTTTATTTTACATGATGTGACCTCTCTGGAGCTGTTTTGATGAAACAAACCCTAGACGGTCAACAAGCTTGAGAATATTTTTAAAATTCTTAATTCATTTATTTCAAATATACAAAGTATTTTTGCTTGTTCTTTTGTTTTGAGATGGGGATCTCCCCATAGCCCCATCTGGAACTCACTATGTAGACCAGGCTGGTGTGGGTCTCACAAAGATCCACTTGCTTCTGCCTCTGGAGTGCTGGGATTTGTAAGGTGTGTGCCTCCACACTTGTCTATATAACAAAAATATTTTGTTAGAGATAAAGGGGATGGGAAACAGGAGCTTTGGACACAGATCTTATGGTTTAATCAGCAGCAACTGTGACTTGCACAAGAAATCCAGAAATGAAAAGCTAGCTCAGAAGACTCAGACTTTGAAACTGGAACAAATTTATAATGGCTAACCTAAGCAAGTCTTAACTGTTAGAGGATAGCTATGGCATTTTTCATTAATTTCAGGTGAATATACAGCTTAAAGCAGGGGAAATACAACCTAAGTAGGAGATAGCTGGCAATGCTCAGAGTCATCTTCGGTTGTCACAATTGGTAGACTGGGTAGGAATAAGAGGGAGGGGGCTGCTACAGGCATCTTGTGAGTATAGGACAGAGATGCTGCTAAACAACCTCCATATACAGGATAACTTATGACAAAGAATTGTCCAGCCCCAAATGTCAGTACTGAAGCTGAGAACCTGATGGGGAACTCTAGTTCTCTTTCCAGCTACCAGTCACCAAAGAGCATCCTGATTTTGTTTTTGTTTTTCATTTAATATCCATCTAGGTTTGAAAGAGATGCATCTTAGCTCTGGAAATTGTTATTGAATATGTTAATGCTGTTGTAATGAAATGCTTTTAATTATGTGGTTATTAAATAAATAATTTTTAAAAATTAAAATATTAAAAAATAAAAAAAACAAAGCAAACATTTTTAATAAATATTTTAATGCATTAAAAAAATCCATCTAGGAAAAAATTAAAGTATCTAGGTAGAAGGGTTTTCTTAAGATTTCATTTTACTTTTAATGTGTGTGTGTCTGTGTGTCTGTGTCTGTGTATGTGCACAAAAGTATAAGATCCCCTAGAGCTAGAATTGTGAGGTGGTTGTAAGCTGCCCTGTGTAGGTGCTAGGAACTGAACTCAGAGCTCTCCAGCCCCACTACTGAAGGTTTTTATCACAGACTTCAAGAACATTCACAATTTCCTATCATGGTTTAGGCACATAATGATGAAAAATAAGCCTCCCATACATTTTGAAAATATTAATAATAAATAATCTAGCAATAATAACAAATCCTTCGTCTCCTCCCTTTTTTCTACAATATCAGCCCTAGGAAAACATTAGAAGATATTACATAATCTTTGAACAATGCTTTGTAATTTAAAACAGAATTTTGTGTGTGTGTGTGTGTGTGTGTGTGTAAAATAACATTTGACTTTCCTAATTACCAAGGAAAGAAGATAGAGTAGTTGTTCTTATTCTCATTTTCCAGAAGAGAAAGTGGAGGCTCAGAGGCTGAGGCTCAAGATCTCATAGATCCCAGTAAATGCAAATGCTAGAACTGAAATGCAGGACTGACCTGATAGTTTTATTCTCTTTATTGTGTTCTCTGTGTTCCATGTCTTTATTCCAGGCTTCCAGCAGCATTTGTAATCTAACCTCCATCATGCACAAATTCAAAACAAATAGTGCCAAGTACACTACTGTTTTCATCTCCACTGAGGACACATTAAAAATACAGTTACTTTCTGTAAGAGGGGTATTTGGAATTAGGTAAAAAGATAGGCAAGACTTCTGGTTTCTGGCCAACATTTCACCACTGACTTAAAAAAATTTTTTTAATTAAATTTTTGTGTATTTCATACAGAAAAATCATCTTTATACTCCCTTCCACTTTGGCACTGCCCCTCCCCTCACTGGAGTTCATACCTTCTGTCATTTATGTTAAGGCCTATCATGTAAAGATAGTGTCCCCTGATGTCTCTCAGTGCAGGTTCATCCACTGGGATGTGTTCTATCTATCTAGAGTCCCTCCCTTTAAGAAGATCAGCTCATTCTCACCCAGCACACCACTGACTTGCTTTATGACTTCCAGCAAAGCATAGAATGATTTCCCATGCACTCTTAAATTCTTTGTTTTGGTCTTTTTTTTTTTTTTTTTGAGACAGGGTCTCCCTGTAGCCCCAGCTGACCTGAAACTCGATATATAGACCAGGCTGGCCTTGAACTCACAGAGATCCACCTGCCTCTGCATCTGGAGTGCTGGGATCAAAGGCATGCGCCACCACACCCAGCATAAATTCTTGAGACAGTAACATGGCCTGAAATAGTCTTATTTGCTAGATATTTTTTAATTAAGTTGATTTATTTCCTTAAAATATATATGAAAGCCACTGCCAGTGTTGACCACAGGTTGCAGTTCAGTGACCTAATTTTTGTTGTTTAGAAACACATCCCAAAGATGGGAACTGTTTAACTTTTTTATTGTTGAATCAGAGTCTCATTCATTATAGGCTAATCTCAAATTCACTGTGTGGCTGAGAATGACCTTGAACTTCTGATACATCCTGCTGGTATTGAACTCACTGTTTAGCTTAGGATGATCCTGAATTGCTAACCCTCCTACTTACTACCTCCCAAGTTTGCTAGGCTTGTACCACCACACCTGGTTTATGTGGTGGTCAGGATTGAACCCAGGGCATCATGTATGCAAGGCAAGCACTCAACTACATGAGCTATCTCCACAGTTCTGGACTTTATAATGTCTCTGAAACTTTTAACTTAGAAGTTAAACTTGGGGTGGAAAAGGCTGCTGGAGAGATAGCTCAGCGGTTAAGAGCACTGGCTGCTCTTGTAGAGGACCCAGGTTTGTTTCCCAGCCACCTACATAGTGGTTAACGCCCATCCTTAAAGCCAGTTCCAGGGGATCTGCTCTTCTGGTCTCTGCAAGCACCAGGCACATGTGGTGCACTTAAAAATATGCAGGCAAAACACATAAATTTTTTAAAAAGTTAAACTTTATTTCCTTCAATATTGAGAATTAAATCTAAGGCCTCTTGAATGCTAGGAGAGTACTTTACCTCTCATATATATCCCCAGCCACCCTCCTCCCATCCCCCACTTGTTTTCAGACAGGGTCTTGTATATTCCAGGTTGGCTTCACATTATGTAGGCAAGGATGACCTTGAATTTCTGACCTTCTTGCTTCCACCTCCTGAGTGCTGAGGTGACAAGCTTACAACCATGCCTGGCTTATATGGTGCTGGGTATTGAACACAGGGCTTTATACATGCTAGGCAATCATACTCTAAATTGAGCAACATCCTCTTTTAAAAATCTTTGCTGGGCGTGGTGGCACACGCCTTTAATCCCAGCACTCAAGGAGGCAGAGGCAGGTGGATCCCTGTGAGTTCAAGGCCAGCCTGGTCTACATAGTTCCAGGACAGCTGGAGCTACAGGGAGACCTTGTCTCAAAAAGACCAAAAAAAAAAAAAAAAAAAAAAAAATCTTTTCCATGGCTGGGTGTGGTGGCAGTAACCTGCACTTGGGAGGCAGAGGCAGGCAGATCTCAGTGAGACCAAGACCATCTTGGTTTGCAGAGCAAGTTCCAGGCCAGCTGGGGCTACAGGGAGAACCCATACAAAATTTTTCATTTTGAGACAGTCTTGCTAAATTGACCAGGTTAACCTTAGACAAACTCCAGTAGAGGCAAGCCTCAAACTTGTGATCCTCCCTGCTTCAGCCACAGAATAGCTGGGATTACAGGTCTGTACCATCAGATCCAGCTGATGCTTTCTTTTTCTTTTTTTTTCTTTTTTTTTTTTTACGACAGAATCTTACAGGGGCTAGAGAGATGGTTCAGTGGTTAAGAGCACTGGCTGCTTTTGCAGATGACCCAGGTTTGAGTCCTAGCACCCACATGGTGGCTAACAGCCATTCATAACTCCAGTTCCAGGGGGATCAGATGCCCTTTTCCATCACAGGTGCACTTAACATACAGACAATACACTCATACACATAAAATAAAAATAATAAATTAGGCCGGGCATGGTGATGCACGCCTTTAATCCCCAGCACTTGGGAGGCAGAGGCAGGCAGATCTTTGTGAGTTCAAGGCCAGCCTGGTCTACATAGTGAATTCCAGGACAGCTGGGGCTACAAGGAGACCCTGTCTCAAAAAAGACAAATAATAATAATAATAACAATTAAAAAAAAAAAAAAGACAGGGTCTTACTGTGTGTCCCTGACTGGCCTGGAACTTGCATATAGATCAGGCTGATCTCAAACTCAGAGAACCACCTGCCTTTGCCTCCTGGGTGCTGGGATTAAAGACACGTACCACCACACCAGCAGCTAAAGCTTAACTGCCAGTCAAAAAGAAGGAAGAGAGGGAAGCAGGGAAAAGAAAGGGATGTGAGTTTATGATATAAAGGCAAAATTCTCACAATGATTAGAAGAAAATTAAACTCAACCATGTAATAGCAGGGTAGAACAAACAGCCCTGGAGTATGTGAGAACTATCCTATAATTCGAAGTGTGGGAAAATATATTTTAAATCCCAATTTCCTTTTGGAACCAGATACTCTTCAGAAGAAGGGCCTAAGGGGTGGTACCCTGGTTTAGCTGGCTGTACTGGTTATTAGAATTAGAGAAGGAACACCTTGGAGACAGGGGTGGGATTTCCATAATGAGGGTTTTTTTTTGTTTTTTGGGTTGTTTTTTTTCTTTAAAAAAAAAAGTTAACTAAAAAAGCCAGTAGGACTAACCTATGCACCTTTGTTCATAAGCCACTACAGGAGTGTGAGCAGCACTGCTTCTGCAACAAAGCCTCAAGTTAACCTATCTTGGAAGAATATGGCCATGCCCTGGGGCACAGTCTTTTTCATGCTGATGATATCCTGTGTTTGTAGCACTGGTTTCTACAGAGACCAGAAAACTTGGTTTGAGGGCATCTTCTTGTCTTCCATGTGCCCCATCAATGTCAGTGCCGGCACCTTTTATGGAATTATGTTTGATGCTGGGAGCACTGGAACACGAATTCATGTTTACACCTTTGTGCAAGAACTATCAGGTAAGCACAGCTGGGACCCTCCAATCTATGTGATCCTATCTGCTCCCTGAAACAAATGTGTTGAGCATATGATACGATTTAAAGAATCTTATAGCCAGTGAATGTCTTTCTTTAGAGAACATTTTCCTCTGTAATTGAGCACATAGTTTAGTTTAGTGTGGAATTGATAGAGATAGGTATGGGGGGACAGACTGGAAATATAGCTCAGGAGTTTACCAGGCATGCACAAAGTCCTGGGTTAGATCCACGGCTCCACATAAATCAGGCATGATGGCCCATGCCTATTGATAGGCAAAAGTAGCCGATGGACGAATAGAGTTGATCGGGAGAAAGCACCAAGACACAGATAAAACTCTCAGCAGGATAGTTTTATTTTGCCTGGAACACTTTCCCTTTGGGGAAGGAAAAATGTCAGCCCAGTGATCATGAGCTGGAGCCTTTATAGGAGGGCTTCAGGGGGGTGCAGAAGGCAGGAAGTTTTTTAGAAAAAATTGGGCAGCAGGGAAGCAGGAAAAGCGGAACTTGTAAAACCCGCTCCTTTCCGTCTATCAGCCAGGATCTGGGTCAGGAAGTGTTTGGTTTTTGTCCTCTTAAAATAAGGGAGCCAGCCTGGCATGGTGGCACACGCCTTTAATCCCAGGCGGATCTCTGTGAGTTCAAGGCCAGCCTGGTCTACATAGTTCCAGGACAGCTGGGGCTACAGGGAGATGCTGTCTCAAAAAGACAAAAAAAGAAAAAAAAAAAAAAAAAAAAGATAAGGGAAAAGCTGCTGTGCTGAAGCAGCTCCTGAAGTCTCTGGTTAAAAGGTGGAATCTGTTTATCTTGTCTTTGGAGATCAAAGGAAAAGCAAGCTGCCTTTTAGAAGAGTCTGTTTCCCTTGACTTCAAAGACCAGGGTACTTACCAACTCCGTTCCCTTTTCTCAGGGGGCTTGAGAGGTCCATGAGGCCCTGTTGGTGAGGGGGCGGGGCTATCTGAACCTTAACACCTATAATCCCAGTACTTTAAAGCAGAGGATCAGGAATTCAAGGTTATTCTCTGCTACATAGAATATTTAAGGCCAGTGTAGAATATATAAGGCTGAAGAGTGGGAGAAGGGAGAGAGAATGAAACTCTTATGTCCAAGTATAGCTGTAATTTGTCCTTCATCTTCTCTAAAGGTAGTTAATGTTAAGGTTCAGATAGCTTCACCCCCTCACCAACAGGGCCTCAATGGATCTCACAAGCCCCTGAGAAAATGGAGTTAATAAGCACCCTGGTCTTTGAAGTCAAGAGAAGCAGACTTTTCTCCACTATTGGGCCAATACAGCAGGCTTCCCCTTTGATCTCTAAAGAGGGCAGGTTTTAACAGTCTGCTCTCCCACCTAACTTTAAAAAATACATCTTCCTGCCTTCTGCACCACCCCCCAAGCCTCCCCCTATAAAAGACCCCAGCTCATGACCCAGGGCAGACATTTTCCCCGCCCAGAAGGGAATCTGTCCCATGTGTTCCTTTGCTAATAAATTCTATTCCCCTGGAGTTTTATCTGTGTCCTGGTGGAGTTTTATCTGTGTCTTGGTGCTTTCTCCCAATCAACTGGATTCATCCATCGCCTGCTTTACCTATCAGTTAATAGCCCAGAGATTCAGAATATTGAGAATTGTGGGAGTCGTTTTCTGGGGAAAGTGTCCACTAATGTCCATTAAAGCTGTCATCCTTGAAGAAGGAGCTGAAAGGACCTAGAAGGTTAACTTTCTAGAATTCTCAGTTTTCTTTCCTTGCTCAGGTTACCTAAAAAGCCTAGGGAACTCAGGCAGGAAGATTACAGTTCAAGGCCAGCCCTAGGGCTATATAGAGAGTTCAAGGCTAGCCTGGGCCACACAATGAAACCCTGTTGCAAAATTTAGTAACTGTTTTAAAAATATGAATTTGGGGGAAAGGAGTAAGAGAATCCCAGAGACACCAGAAAAATGGCAGAGGGACCCTCCAGTGGTTGCCTAATGACCCGTATTCCACCTTCCTAATACTTCTGCAAACATTCCTCACAGGTGGGATCATATGGAGTAATCTAAGTCATTTAACAGCTTGTAAAGATTTGTATCTAAAGCAGCCTAAATTTTGGTAACCAGCTGTCTCTCTTTTTTTTCCATGGACCAAATAGGACAGCTCCCTTTCTTGGAAGGTGAAATTTTTGAGTCTGTGAAGCCAGGACTTTCTGCTTTTGTAGATCAACCCAAGCGAGTGAGTCTCTTATGATTTTGTGGCTTTTTGTTTCCATTTTATGTAGTGCTAGAGCTCTGAGGGCTTCGTGCATGCTAGGTAAGTATTCTATGACTGAGCTATATCTATACCTAGACCTCTTTTTACTTTTTGAGACAGGTTTCCGCTAAGTTGTCAAAGCTGATCTTGAACTCAGTAGCACAGACAGGCCTTAAAATTATGGTCCTACCTTCTTACCCTCTTGAGTAGCTTTGGTTATAGGCCTACATAGCTTGGTTTGATGTTTAGGGTCTCAGTGCCTGGATGACTCTGCCATACCCTGTTGTTAAATATCTCATGCTATTCATTAATAATAATGAGGCCATGTGTGAGATCGGTTTTCCTTCCTCAGTGAACTTCCTGAATAACCATAACTGTATACCACAGGCTCACAAGAGATAGGTAGAGAAAGGCTAGAAAATAGATTCTGGAAGCTGGACAGATAGCTCATTGGGGAAGAATGCTTGCTCTGCAAGGATGAGGACCTGTATTCAGATCCCAGCACCCATGAAAAAAATTGGCATGGCTTTGCTCACATGCCTGCCTGTAACCCCAGCACTAGGGGAAATAGGGACAGGAGGATCTCTGGGACTTGCTGGCCACCAGCCTAGCTTCAGGTTCAGTGAGAACTTGTTTCAACAAACAAAACAAAACAAAACAGAAAATTGTTCTCTTTTACTTACTGTTTTAAGTTAACCTGGTTGACATTGTTTGACACACAAAAAAGATTTTTTTTGAATATTTTATTTTTATTTTATGTATATGACTGTTTTGCCGGCATATAAGTGGGTGCACCGTGTTGTGCAATGCTGCGGAGGTCAGAAGAGGGCTTTGGATTCCCCCCAGAACTGGAGTTAAGGATGGCGTTTGCAGCCTCCATGTGGGTGCTGGGAATCGAACCCAGGTCCTCTGCAAGAGCAGTCAGTGCTCTAAACTGCTGAGCCATCTCTCCAGCCCCATAAAAAAAGAAAAAAAAAGATTTTTAATTGAAGCCATTAGCTGTATTAATGTTAATACAGAAGAGGGACATGGCATACTACAGTATGTGAAGTGTAAACAGCAGTTGAGATGTGGAAACCAAGTGAATTCTCATTTCAGTTTCAAAAAGCAAAACAAAAAGAAGCTGGGTGTGGTGGCTCATACCTATAATTCTATCCCTTTGGACTCTGAGGCAAAAGATTGCTAAGAGTTTGAAACCATTGTAGGCTACATAGTGAGTTTTATGAACAGCCTGGGCTGCAGAAAGACCTTGCTTCAAATAAACAAACAAAACAATTTGAGCTTGAAGAACTGAGATGCGTTTTTCTTTGCTCAGCACATGAAATAGCAAATGTGCTAGGGAATGAGCTATACAAAGCAACTAAATTAGCAGAAGCTGATTTAACATTTAGAAAAGATTATTGGATTATGTTTGCTAATAATAATAAATAAGGGAGTGAGTGTGGTAGCTCGCACATCTGTCAGCCCAGCAAGAAGGAATCTGAAGCAGGATAAAGAGTTCAAGGCCAGCTTTAGCTACATAGTGACACCCTGTCTCAAAAGGCAGTGGGGCAGTATATTAATCCAATAAAGGTTCCTCAGGGAAACAATGGATTTTTTTGTTTTGTTTTGGTTTTTTGGTCTTTTTGAGACAGGGTCTCTCTGTAGCCCCAGCTGTCCTGGAACTCACTATGTAGACCAGAGTGGCCTTGAACTCACAGAGATCCGCCTGCATGCAAAGGCATGCGCCACCACGCCCAGCTTTGTTTTGTTTTTGAGGCAGTCTCCCTGTAGCCCCAGCTGGCCTGGAACTACTATGTAGCTGGCCTGGAACTCATGAACTCACAGAGATCTGCCAGCTCTGCCTCCTAAGTGCTGGGATTAAAGGCATGTACCACCACACCTGGCCAAAACAATGGGTTTTAAATATTTTATTTATTATTTTTTATTTTTATTTTATGTGTATGCATGTATTGCCTACATGTAGGTAAGTGCACCTGTGTCATGCGTTGCCTGCGGAGGACAGAAGAGGCCGTCAGATCCCCTGGAACTGGAGTTTCAGACAGTTGTTAGCTGCCATGTGGGTGCTGGGATTCTTATTTAAGAACAGCCAGTGTTCTTAACCACTGAGCCATCTCTCCAGCCCCAACAGTGGGTTTTAAATAATGGTTTTCATTTGTCTTAAGTTGATGATCTGCTGTGTGCCATGCATGTTGGTACTGGTGATTTAAAAAAAAGAAAGAAAATTAGCCTGCCACATTCTGCCTAGAGATCACATAACAGCCACAGCTAGCAGTTTTGTGAGCACTATGCCTCATTTAGTGCACACACCAGTTTAGTGGCAATGTGAGACATATTGCCCATCCCCCACCTGAGGAAACCAAGCTCCAGGAAAACCAGGTAACCCCCTGTTAGGTCATGGCTAGTAAGCAGGTCTTCCTGACTCCAGCTCTTAAGTTCTCTGTACTGCCTTTCTGACCTAAAACTAATTTACAGAAGCATAAAATAACAATCATCCAAAATGACATGTCTATAAAAGAATAATTTTAAATACAACTATCCAAATGAAAGTCTCTTTTTTTAAAAAGTTCCCTGTTTCTCTAGGTTTCTGTTCCTGCAGAGCAAAGGGGGACTAGAGCCCTCTATCACATCGCTCCTGTTCCCCCAAAGAACATTGAAAAAATAGACCAGTGGTACTAAATGGCCTTCTCATTGGATGTATGGATTATCTCTTTTAAAGGGTGCTGAGACTATTCAAGGACTCTTAGAGTTGGCCAAAGACTCCATCCCCAGAAGTCACTGGAAAACAACCCCAGTGGTTCTGAAGGCAACAGCAGGACTTCGCTTACTGCCAGAACAGAAAGCCCAGGCTCTGCTCTTTGAGGTAATTTTTGAAATCTGAATCTTATATAATTCAGTATTTTTCCTCAAAGAATATTTTCTTATTGTTTAGCATTTTGGAATATGACTGCTGCTTTCAGTATCTCACCATTGCTAAAGCACTGGTGACTGGGCTCTTGTTTGTTGTAGTTTGTCATTTACACTTTAAACTATTACCCTTGAATTTAAAGAGCTTTTCCTTAAAAAGTTTAAGTACTTCCCTTTAAGATATTAACCATTTGTTTATTTGTTTGTTTTAATTTTGTGTTTGCCACAGGGCAGCATGGAGGTCAAAGGATAACTTAGAGGAGTCAGTTCTCTTTCCACCATGTGGTCCCAGAGATGAAATTCAGGTTATCAGGCTTGACAATAAATGCCTTTGCCCACTGAGCCATCTCACCTGCCTTCCAAGATCTTTTTTCATTTGAATTTTCTTTTTAAAATTTTTTTTTCTGGAGCTGGAGAGATGGCTCAGTGGTTAAGAGCACTGACTGCTCTTGCAGAGGACCCGGGTTTGATTCCCAGCACCCACATGGCGGCTACAAACCATCCTTAACTCCAGTTCCAGGGGAATCCGAAGCCCTCTTCTGACCTCCACGGCATCGCACGACATGGGTGCACTCACATACATGCAGGCAACACACTCATACACAGAAATTAAAAATAATAAAATTAAAAAAAATTTTTTTTCTTTATTTTTATGTGTGAGTATATTGCTTACATGTATGTAAGCACATCCATGTTGTGCAGTGCATGTGGAGGCCAGAAGGTGTTCAATCCCCTGGAACTGGAGTTATGGATGGCTGTTAGCCACCATGTAGGTGCTGGAAATCCTGGCCCTCTGCAAACTGCTGAGCCATCTCTCCAGCCCCCCTTTTTATTTGTTTATTTTCATTTTATTTGTATGAGTGTTTTGCCTGCATGTATGTAAATGCACCCATGTTGTACAATGCCTGTGGAGGCCAGAAGAGGGTGTTCAAACCTCTGGAACTGGAGTTCTGGTCAGTTAGCCAACATGTGGGTGCTGAGAACCAAACCTGGATCATCTGCAAGAGCAGCCAGTGTCCTTAACAACTGAGCCATCTCTTCAGCCCCTCGTTTGAATTTTCTGAAAGCAGAATCATAGACATGGTTTTTTGTTTTTTTTTTGTGTTTTTTTGTTTGTTTGTTTTTTTGGGTTTTTTTGGTCTTTTTGAGACAGAATCTCCCTGTAACTCACTGCGTAGACCAGGCTGGCCTCTTAACTCACAGAGATCCACCTGCTTCTGCCTCCCAAGTGCTGGGATTAAAGTCATGCACCACCATGCCTGCCCCTAGACATGGTTTTAAATCAACTATACTGGAGGGCATTTATGTACAATGAAATATGTTTATTTACTTATCTGGGGCGATAGCTTAGTCGGTAAAGTATTTTCCACACAAGCCTGAAGACCTGCATTTGATCCCCTGCTTTACATTAAAAATAGACAAACAAATAGACACCAGGTGTGGTGGTGCATTCCTTTAATCTGAGGCAAGCAGCTCTCTGTGAGTTTGAGGCCAGCCTGGTCTACATAGCGAGGTCCAGTTCTCAAAAAACCAAAACAACAACAACAACAAAACCCTGAAAAAACAAAGAAACAGACAAGGTGACACACACTTATAACCCCAGTGCTGGGGAAGTAGAGACAGGAGAATTCCTGGGGCTTGCTGGCCAATCAATCTAGCCTAATCAGTGAGCCCCAGGTCCCAGTGAGAGACTCTGTTTCAAAGAATAAGGTAGATAGCCCCTGAAGAAGGAGACTCAGGGCTGGAGAGATGGCTCAGTGCTTAAGAGCACTGGCTGTTCTTAAAGAAGAATCCCAGCACCCACATGGCAACAAACAACAGTCTGTAACTCCAGTTCCAGTTCTGATACCCTCTTCCGTCCTCAAGGACACTGCCTGACACTAGTGTCAGTGTGGCTCGTGTGATAGAAAGTAAAAGCTAGGGGACAGGGAAGGTAGGAAGACACCAGAATATTTTGAGCTAAGGAGAAATAACCTGATACGCATTTTAAAAACACGATCCATCAGTTGGGAAAACATTCCCTACATAAGCAGGAGATTATGAGTTTGGATTCCCAAACTCATAAAAAGTCAGATGTGAGCCGGGTGTGGTGGCACATGCCTTTAATCCTAGCACTCGGGAGGCAGAGCCAGGTGGATCTCTGTGATTTCAAGGCCAGCCTGGTCTACATAGTGAGTTCCAGGACAGCTGGAGTTACAGGGAGATCCTGTCTCAAAAAGACCGAAAAAAAAAGTCAGATGTGGCAGTGTGCACCTGTACTTCCAGTGCTGGGGAGAGAGAGACAAGAAGATCCCTAGGGCTTGCTGGCCAGTGAGTCTGCGTAGCCAGTTATCGAGTTCCAAGTTCAGTCACACTCTGTCAAAAAAAAAAATAAGGTGGAAAGTGATTGGGAAAGACACCTGACTTTAACCCTTGGCCCCTATGCACATATGTGCATACATAAACACATACATATACATACACACAAATAAATACCATTCTGGGTACTGTGTTGAGAATAAACTTGGAGCAGAGGAGAGGAATGGAGAAGGCTGGAGTAGAAAGTCCCTGCTTATTTCTGCTATCTTCTTTAAAGCTTATTTACAGATAACTTAACTGGCTGGTTTTATAGGTTGAAACAAGGTCCATAGGTCACTGCTTGATGTGTTTTATCTCATCAGATATAAGAACAGCAAACTGACTAGAGTTCTTTTTATTCATATTTGGAGAATATCTCACTCATCATAGTCACATAAAAATAAGTCATAACACAGGCTGTGAGATGACTTGTAAGGGTGCTTGCTGCCACACGTGACAACCTGAATTCAGTCCCCAGGATTCACATGGTTGAAGGACAGAAAAGACTCATGAAAGTTGCCCTATGATTTCCACACATGTGCTGTGGTATGTGCAGGCCCACATACATACAAACATGTTGCATACACACATAAAATACATGAATGTAATTATTTTAAGGCCATACCACATACCATTGGCCTTTATTTATCAAGAATCAGAAGCATTTGTGTAAGATCATCACTCCTGTCTCCTAAAATTGGACTCTATAAAGTTAGATCTGAGATCTCTCCAAGACTCTAGAGACCCCAGCAATGCAACAAAATCCAATATAGAGTGCCTCAGCTCCTTCCCTGTGGTAGGTTCATCACTTATCTAAGGAATGGACTTGGAAAGGCTCCTCCTGGTGTTCAGTGCATGTCTAGGTAGAATTAGGTTTTGTTGTTGGTTTTTTGGGTCTTTTTTGAGACAAGGTCTCCCTGTAGCCAGAGCCAGCCTGAAACTCACTATGTAGATCAGGATGGCCTTGATCTCACAGAGATCTGCTGGGATTAAAGGCATGCATCACCACACCCATTAGAATTAGGGTTTTTCACAAAATTACAGGCTCTTGATTTGAGTTTGATAGGGTCCAGTATATGTTCTTCTGTAGGTCGACTTGATCTATAAATTTAGAGAAGTTGCTTAAAGGAATCCTTGGTTTCTGTTTTGAAAGAAAATAGTAATTCCTTGCCTAGTTCCTCTTCCAATTTCTTTTTTTAAAAATCCATTTTTTTTTTTAATTTTGTGGGGCTGGAGAGATGGCTCAGCAGTTAAGAACACTGGTTGTTCTTGCAGAAGACCTAGGTTGAAATCCCAGCACCCACATGGCAGCTAACAACTGTCCGTAACCCCAGTACCAGGGGATCTGACAGCCTCTTCTGTCTTCCTCAGGCATTGCACGACATGGGTGTACCTACTTACACGCAGGCAATACACGCATACACATAAAAATAAAAATAAGAAATAAAATATTTTAAAAAAATATATATATTTATATATTTTAAATTTTGTGTATATGAGTGTATTGCCTGAATGTATGTATGTAAGTGCACCCGTGTCATGCAATGCCCACGGAGGTCAGAAGAGGGCATCGGATCCCTTGGAACTGGAGTCACAAACAGTTGTTAGTCAACATGTGGGTGCTGGGAATTGAACCAAGGTCCTCTGCAAGAGCAGTCAGTGCTCTTAACCACTGAGCCATCTCTCCAGCCCCCATCTCTTCCAATTTTACTTAGGGAAAATGAGTTAGTTCTGCTAAAATTTTATCCAGGGAAAAATGACTAGAGCAGTTTTCTAAAACTTACAGAACACAGCCAAATGTGATAATTTGTCTTACTGTCTCATGGAATCAAGATTTTTGCACTTGTTCCCTAGGTGGAGGAGATCTTCAAGAAGTCACCTTTCCTGGTCCCAGAAGACAGTGTTAGCATCATGGATGGGTCCTATGAAGGTGGGACAGGTGGCGAAATGCATGCCTTGAGGGGAAGGGGCATGTCAATGAAAGACACAATTGAAGGAATTGGGAACATGGGCCGGACTTGGTAATGCACACCTTTGATCCCAGCACTCTGGGAGGCAGGCGGATCTCTGAGAGTTCAAGGCCAGCCTGGTCTACATAGTGACTTCCAGGTCAGCTGGGGCTGCAAGGAGACCCTCTATCAGAAAAAAAAAAAAAAAAACACCCCAAAAGGAATTGGGAACATGGATCCAGCACTAAAGAAAAAGGAACTAAGTAAGGAGAAACAAGAAGCAAGGAGTAATGGGGTATCAGGGAATGGAAGAAAAGGGGAGAGGGAAATAGTGCTGTAGACATGGCAGAAAGAAATAGAAAAGAAGCTGATCTAGGAAAGAGAAAAAATGTTCTAGAATGTAACCCTTGTTTTTCTCTTCCTTTAGGCATATTAGCTTGGGTTACTGTGAATTTCCTAACAGGTAACAAATATATCCTTGAGCTTATCTTATAACTGTAACTGGCTTTCACAAGCATATTGGAAGAATAAAATCCTTTTTTTTCTTCCTGTACCATTCTTTCTTTAAAATAATGGGGTAGGGGCAGGAGAGTGGTTAAGAGCATTTACTGTTCTTACAAAGAGGAACTGAGTTCCATTCCAGCACCCACATCAAGTGGCTCACAACTACTTGTAATTCCAGCTCCAGGTAGCCTTTGTGGGTACCCACACTCATGTGCGTATACCACCCCCTCCACACACAGACACACATATATATAATTTAAAATAAAATGAATCTTAGGCTGGAGAGATAGCTCAGCAATTAAGAGCATTGTCTGCACTTGCAAATGACCCAGGTTTGCTTCCTAGCACCCACAGGATGGCTAAAAAACCATCTTTAACTCCAGTTCCAGGGGATCCAACGCCCTCTTCTGGCCTCTGTAGGCACTGTACAACACAGGTACACTTACATACATGCAGGCAAAACACTCATGCACATAAAAATAAAGTAAATTTTAAAAAAATTTAAGGGGGCTGAAGAGATGGCTCAGTGGTTAAGAGCTCTGGCTATTCTTGCAGAAGACTCGGTTCCAATGCCAGCAACCCACATGGCTGCTAACAACCATCTGTAACTCTGGTTCCAGGGGATGCAGTGCCCTCTTCTATCCTCCATGGGCACTGCACAACTCTGGTTCCAGGGGATCCAGTGCCCTCTTCTATCCTCTAGGTGCACTTACATGCAGGTATAACACTCATACACATAAAATAAAAATAAATAAAAAATTTTTTTCTTGCTAAAAATGCCATTAATAGCTTTATTGTTTAAAGTGCACATTATATTCAGCCATTTGCTAGCACGCCCCCACCCCTTTGAGAGATTGAAATGGTCTAGTGTAGGCTTTAGCAAGGAAAAAAATAAAACAGAAAAGTAACTAGAAAACTATAAAAGAATTCATTCAACAGGATTGGCTATTTGATTTCTTGGAACTATAAAAACAGAAAAATTAAGAAGTACAGCAGGACACAGGTGTTTGTTTAAAATAGAAACTGGCTAAGAAAGGGAAGACTTAAGAGTGTGGGTTCTGTTCACGCCTCTGATACAAGCAGGGAATGGCACTGGTCACCAGAGCAGTGATGAAAAGCATCCCCTTATCCAGGAATCTCACAATGTTCTGGTACAAATAAGACAGTACCAAATTAATTTAAATGGGTAGGATAGGATCCATATTCCAGGAAGAGGGCACCTGAAGATGACATTCAGAAGATGATAATTTCCAGTTCTGAATCTGCCTAAATGCCAGGTGCACAGTAGTGCACCTGGCATCTCAGCATTTGGGAGGTGAAGGCAGAGGGACTGCAAGTCCAAAAGCCATTCTGGGCTACATAGCAGGACCCTGTATCAAACAAAACACATCAAAGTAACACAGATGCCTAAGATTTCTGTGCCCATAGATGGAATCACAAACCAATTTCAAATTGAAAGGTGACAAAAGATGAAAAGACTTGTGCATGCATAAAACATCAAATAGACCCTTTATGCACCTGCTGCTATGAGGGAACCTTAAACCACTTGTCTTGATGGTGTCTGGTTTCACTTGTTGCTCTGGGATGATAATTATTTTTTTAACTTTTACAAAAACTTTACTGAGAATTACATACATATAAGGTGTTTTGATCAAATCCATGCCCATTCCCTCCCCTCCAACATTCCCCCCTCTGAAGAGGTAACCCTAAAATCTTTTAAGGATTAGATACATGCTCCCAAATACTTTTGATATTTTGGGCCTTTGGAACAGAATATGCTGCTAACAGGCCCAAGGACATTTTGACTTTTAGCCAAAAAA